ATGAAAATTTGAAAGCATTTAAACTTAACTTTGTAGTCCACCCCCCTTTCTTTGCTTGAGAATCACTAACAAAAAATATAGTTGGTGCCTGTAGTGGTCATGTTCATAGCTGTAGACAATAAAGAACACTCTAGGAATTGGTCAAGAATAGCAAGCTTTTGCTGGCATTTAGAAATGTATGTGACACCTCAAATTGTCACAACAGCATGCAATGCCCAGGGGATGAGGATGTTCAATGTCCTGTATGATGACTGTTTCACAGAAAATGCCAGAAATCTCTGGGCAGTGGTGGTGCACGCCTTTAATCCCAGCACTCGGGGAGGCAGAGGCAGGCGGATGTCTGTTGAGTTCGAGGCCAGCCTGGTCAACAAGAGCTAGTTCCAGGACAGGCTCCAAAGCTACAGAGAAACCCTGTCTCGAAAAACAAAACAAAAAAAAGAAAGGAAGAAAGGAAGAAAGGAAGAAAGGAAGAAAGGAAGAAAGGAAGAAAGAAAGAAAGAAAGAAAGAAAGAAAGAAAGAAAGAAAGAAAGAAAGAAAGAAAGAAAATGCCAGAAATCCCTTTGGTTTGATGATTTGCAGTCAGAAAATCTAGACATTCCTGACACATTCTTTTGCTTGAATATTTGATTTCTAAGTTAAGTCCAGTGACACAACAGAACATACACAGAGGCAAAGACTATATATATCTTTTCCTACTTGCCACCTATTTGTATATCATATGCATGATGTCCTGAGTCCGAGACATACATGGATCAAATGAGCACAGAACAAGTATGTTGCATCTATGACTGAGGTGCTAACAATTCTATGATGCTAAGATCTCCGTTTGAATTGGAATTTGCTGTAGGTGCAAAAAGAAGGTGGTAGTATCCAAAAAATACAAGTAAGCAAAGAATTCTATCATATCCCTTCTTGCTCATGTTTCTATGATCAATCATTTAAACATACAAAGAGCAATCTAGAGTTTTCTTTTTAGTCTTTACTTACTTATCAGTAAGCAGAAGGTAGAGAATATTGTTAGAACATATACAAACGAAGAAGGGAAATAAAAACAGTTGAGTTTATTTTTTGCTGAGTTTACACAATTGTGACATCATAAATACATATGGATGTAGAAGTCATGAAATTCCAATTAGGTAATTTTGGTGATTCCACATATGAGTGAAATACTGTTATATTTGCATTTAAAATTGCTTTGTACAATATAAAGATGAATGGTACAATTCATCATAAGAATTTAAAGTTTCATCCCCCCCCCCCTTAAACTGACATTAAAAAGCAAATTGAATTGGGGATAGTACTGTATGCCTATAACCCTAGAACTCAGGAGGCTGGGACAGAAAGATCTTATGTTCCAGGCCAGTCTGGGCTACAAACCAGCAAATTTATAAAGCATCATGGCCAGTGGAGGGAGAGAAGGGAAGGAGGAGGAAGAGAGAGAAAAGGAAGCAGTGGCAGCATAATAGTTCAGTACAGAAAATGATGTTTTGTCTCTACAGTTGAACTGTATTTTCATTTTGCTCTGAGGCTCACAAATTATGTAACTGGACATGACTGGGCTAGTTTGAGTAGTAAAGGATTAATGGATAAAATAATCTCTCAAAGCCACAGAGCAAGGTTTACAAAATATGCAGTTAGAAACAACTTGCAGGAAAAAATTATGCCTAGAAGAACGCACATCTCACATTAGTGTTATTCTTGTGGAAACCCATCCATACAACCCACCTGTCAGTCATCATTTGTCACACCAGAAATATATGTTAGCACTCCTCTCAGAAGAACCAGATAGTCTCACCATAGTGTTTGTCAAAAAATCTCATTTTTTCCAAATACAGGTGAATTACCATGTTGCTCACTTTCAGAAATATACCTTGAACTGGTGCATTTGATTGCTGGAAATTAAACCACGTGCTGATGCCACATTCTGATTGTTAGCATCCTTTCCAATTAATTCATATTTAAGTAAAGTCATTCTGATGGCTTGGGAGTCACTTTGGGAACTTGAGTACTAAATATCAGGGATTTCACACTCTTTTTGGCTGGCATTAAATATTTATCATCACACTGACTAATCTCATGTTAGCACCCTAGCTGCAAGGGAGTCTGAACCAGTTTATCTGTCAGTTTCTAAAGTACAGACGTGTAAGCTAGAAGGTTGTGGTGCTTAATCTTCATTGTTAATGTGATTAGATTTAGAATTACCATGGAAACATAAGGTCTACAAGGGTGTTTCCAGAAAGGTTTAACTGACATGCAAAGACCCACTCTGACTTGAATAGCTCTATTCTACAAGCTGTCCCTGAATAAATTAAAAGGTTAAAGTGGGCTGAGCACTAGAATTCATCTTTCTCTGCTGGACAAAATAGAAGCAGTTACCACACATCCTTTTTACTATGTCTTCCTCCTATGGACTGACTATATTTCTTAGAACTTTAAACCAATATAAATTCTTCCCTTCTTATGTTTTTTCTTGTCAGGTGTTCTGGCCACAGTGAGAAAAGGTGCTAATGCAGAGTGGACTGGCTTGGTGAACAAGCCAATACCTCCCGCCCCCTCCAGCACATAATACAGAGGTCTTCACCTACTATTCCAGATAATCAATTGCTAAGAAGCAAATGTCTTCAACTGATGTTGAAAAGGATTGGTACAGAAAGGTAGGAAGGCTCTAAGTAAAAGGATGAGATGATAAGTGCCGTCAATGAACTAAAATAATTGACAAATGTTAATTGCTATCATTAAAATACATTTCTTACAATTTCGGCATATAAACTCTGTAAATATAAGAGAACATGTCCACCATATCTCTCATTATCTTAGCAAATGATAGTCACTAAAAAGAAAGGATATTTCCATTCATATTTGGCATTTTACATATTGTACACAGAGTAGTCATCTGGATGTAAACTTTCACCCACATTATTACATTTGAGTCTGATTACATGCCTAAAAAGTTAAAATGATTTTCTCATCATTTCATAGATGAGAAAATAAACCGACAGTTATCAGACAAACTCACTTATCTAGTAAATTAAATTTTAAAACTCGGTCGCTAAGTGAAAATGCTACTTTTTTTTCCAGGAAGAACATATTTATAAAACCTATTAAATCGTGGTTAGGAGACTGTTATCAGGTTTTTTATTTGATCATCAACTTTAAATTACACATAATAGAAACAATATTCCCATCTCACATTTTTCAAGAGTGAACATTATTTTCTTGGGAGTTCTAGAAGAATGTGAAATAAGGTTTTGAGTGTCTTTTGAAAAAGTAAACAATGTTTCAAGAGGCAGTGGTCAAGAATCTCGTTCTAGAAAGAGCTAATATTAATTTGATACCTTTACTTTTCAGGTAGAAACAATAAAATTTAAAAATTATGTATGGATTTCATCAAAATATAATCTAGGATTCTCCATTTTATACTGCTTGAGATACACAGGGTTGGCTGGTGGGGTGCTAATACAGATTTCCATTTCCCATCCCCCCAAAATGTGATTTAGTAAGTGACAAAAATATTACACCTTAAAAAATACACTAAATGCCACAGAATACTGTGGAAATCACTGACACTGTCAATCTGACATTCTGTTTGAATCAAATGAACCCAAGGCTTGTGCATGGTAGTCTTATTTTTAAATCACTTTAGTCTTTTAATACTTAAAATCAATTTTTAAAAATTTCCCTTGTACTATAGCTGCTGGTAAATTATGCCCTAGTCTTGCCATTTATTATTATGCTCTTGAGAGTAATTTACTGTATTGATCGGTCTCAGATCACCCTAAGCATAAATTCCTATTAGCATTTATGATATAGAAACCTTCTTTTAGTGATGTGTCCCTTTAAGCTTTTTGATTTTATGTGATAACCCACAATGGCTGCTAACAAGGTGCTTTCACACCACTCCAAACACAAGGCAATATGATAACCAGTAAAACCCACCTGTATAATTTTGTAAGCGGGACAGAATGAGCTCGACTTTGGATGGATAATGACTGTCAAGTGTCCTAATTCCGGGGGCAAATTTCAAAGCTGACACCATAGTTTCTGGTCCTATCACTTCAATTTTTTTTTTGGGGGGGGTTAAGGGACCCACAAAGATTAGTTTTTAAGAGAAGCCCTTGTTTCACACGTGAGAAAACTGAGGCCTAAAAAAAACCAATTTTTCCAAGGTCACGCCCAATATTAGTGACCAAGTCAGAAAAAAACCCATAGGTTCTAATTTAACACACAAACCAGCAACATGTTTCCCCAACATCCCACAAACTCTAACTTCATCATTTCCATCACCGTTCAGGCTCCAAATAAAGTTGTTTTTGTGTGTGTGTGTGTGTGTTTGGTTGGTTGGTTTTTGTCTAACGGTTCTACCCCACCCCGTTTGGCTTCTGTGTCAATCCTGCCCAACGCGTTCATGAAAACACGGTGACTTTCATGAGCCATTTTCCTTAAGCCAAAATTTTCTCTGAAAGGCTCTCAGGGCTCAGCCCCGGTCCGGGAGAGGAGTGGAGGGAGGTGACTGGGGCAAACAAGTCTTTACGTGTTCTCGCTCGTGCCACCGCGGAGGAAACCACGGCGAATGTCCTCCTCCGGGGAGTGGCGGGGGGGGGGGTGGAGAAAAACACGACGGTGGGAAATCCCTGTGCTGTGCCTCTGCCAACCCTGGGCAAAGCTGGGCAGGGCCGCGCGTGAATAAATCTCCTTAAGTGGCCGGGCGCAGACACTGCAGCACCGCAGCGGAGGAGGGGGGCGAAGAGGAGCGCGTCGCTCGCCCGCGGGGCCGGGAGGAGGGAGCGAGCGCCAGGGCGGCCCTTTTATAGGCCGAGGCCCGCGCGCCCCCGCCCCTCGCGCTGGCCCGGGCTGGGCGCACAGCCGCCGCGTTACCTGAGAAGGGCCGGCCCAGCCAGCGCCCCGCCCGGCCCGCCTTCCCCCTCCCTCCCTCCCGCGAGGCCCGGGCCGCACGAGATCTGCGCCGCGCCTCCCTTCTCCCGCGGGCGGGTTCCCTTACCTTGTACGGGGGGGGAGGGGGCGGTTAAAAATCCTGTCCGCGGCCGCCTCCCCGCCTCCTCTAGGAGGATGTGAAATGGCGGTGGGCGAGGAGAGCGCGAGGAGCCGCCAAAGCCCCGCGCCCCTCGGAGCCTATCCATGACATCGGCGCTCCCCCGGCCCCGCCGCAGTGACCCGGCCCCCAGGCCGAATCATCGATTCCCCGGCGCGCGCCGCGCGGCCCGGCTTCCCGCCAGCCTCTCCCGAAGCCGCGCGCTCCAGGCCCGGGGGTGAACCCCCTCCTCGCCCCTTAACCGGGTCCCCGCCGGGGCGCGGGCGCCCACCCGCCGCTACCCGCCCGTCGGCACCCTCGCGCGCACACTTCCACACACACACACACACACACACACTCACACACACACCCCTCCTCCCCTCCCCCAGTGGTTGCGTCCGTGACATCATCATCATGGCAACAAGAGCTGCAGCCTGGGACCGAGGAGCCCGTGTGATTCCCGGCGGCGGCGGCCGTGGCGGCAGCACCAGCGGCACCACCCGACCCGACGACCGCGCCAGGGCTTCCCTCCCGCTGCCTCTCGCCGGCAGCGTCTGAGGAGGAGGAGGCGGCGGCCGCCCCACAGCCCCGTTACCCCGCGCGCCGCAGCCGCCGCCGCCGCCGCCGCCGCCACTCGTCTCGGCGTCCGCGTGAGGGGAGGGCAGACGGAGAAGAGAGCCGAGCCGAGCCGGGGAGGAGGCGCCTCTGCGGAGCCGCCGCCGCCGCTGCCGCTGCTGCCGCCGCTGCCAGGTCGCCCGTGGAGGGGAGGCGGTGGCGGCGGCGGCGAACATGTTTTCTGTGAGGATAGTGACTGCCGACTACTACATGGCCAGCCCGCTGCGGGGGCTGGATATCTGCCAATCCCCCCTCACCCAGCTGCCTGTCAAGAAGGTGCCGGTGGTTCGAGTCTTCGGAGCGACCCCGGCAGGTAAGCGGGAGCGGGCGGGGGCGAGGGTGCGAGCGGCGGGGTGTCGGGGGTGTCGGGGGTGCCCTCCCCGCCTGGCGCTGCCGCGCACGCCGCCGGCCCTCTCCGGGGTCGCTGCGGACTCTTCCTCTCTTCTACGCTCCGCTCGCCTTTTCTCCCGCGCGTGACAGGAGGCGAAGGGAAAAAAATGTGGGTTCGTGCGAGCGCTGCGCCCCCCTCCGCGACAGACAGGCAGCGGGCGCGGGGTATGGGCTGTGCGGGCGGCGGGCGGGCTAGGTCCCTCTCGCGCTCGCTGGGTCCGGGGGCTGTGCCTCGTCCCCAAGGACGAGTTGGCGGGGTCCTTAGAGGTCGGTGGCTGATGGGACCCCGGACACCCGCTGCACCTCCCCGGTGCCCTGTTCTAGACATGGCTTTGCGAACAGAGGGGAAGTGTCAGCCCCGTTGTCAGTCGCTCCCCGTTGCCTCCTTTCACCCTAGCTCTCCTCTGCCCCTGCCGGAGATGCTTTGGCTGGAGAAAGTGGCGCCGGGAGCCAGATAATCTTTCTCATTGAAGTGACCATGTGGCTGGGCCGCGAGTGCAGGTCGTGACTGCTTAGAGTTTTACGCCTCGGCGAGGACAGAGCGGCATCCTCAGGTGCAATGCTTTCAGGAAATGTGCACCATGGAAATAGGAAATACGTGTTTGTGTCGCCCAGCATAAAATGCTACACTTAATGGGGGTGAATTCGTCGGGAAACACAGCCAAGCTCAGCACCATAGGCGTTTTAAAATGCCTCTAGGCTGGGTTGTAGGGTTGCATTTAAAAAATAGATTTAAAAAAGTATTTTGAAGAAATGGTGGGAAAAAATGACAGAAGCTATGTTCTGGAACGCTCGTTGGGAATTTATAATACAAATAGAATAGTGGCCAAATATGCAAGGTTTTTGTGTTTTTATTTTTCAGATTTGCTTTTTACATGCTTTAAACTGTTAAGGTGAAATGCTAAAGCCGTATTCTGGAGGCGGATGCTCTTACCAAGGAATTGCCCTATGGGATTTTAGATAGCATTTCCCACTTGATGCTCCTTGCCCTCATCGCATTCATCTTTATTACTACAGTCAGCTTCTGTGGGCTGCCAAGATAATACCACTTTCCAAAATACAGGCACCCATTCGAAGCTGTCACCTTTTCATGTGACTTCTCTTTGTTAAAAATGTCAATGCGATAAATAAGATTTGGTGGGAGTTTGACGCTGTGAACCTTTGAAGACAGAGCTTTTGAATGCTGTTAACAGCTGGTGGAGGGTACAGCCCATGGGACTTGAAGACTGGAAAATAAGAGGCATTCTGATGTTCCGGAGGATAGGTTCTGTACCCTTTAAATGTCGTGGTGCTCTCTTTGTTTTGATTCGGAACCTCGGAGTAATCTACTGCTTGTTCTCGGCTCAGCTGCAGAGAATGATAGTGAAGTTGATTTTCAGGTCGTAGACCAATCCGCTCTATGACTAGTAGGTGCTTGTGGTGGTGGTCTTGTCTGGATGGTGGTGGAGTTACTTTTCTACGGCGTTGGTTTTTCTTGCTAAATATGTATCTCTGGGTGATTGTAAAACTGTATTATGTAGGAAAGTTTTTTTTTGTTTGTTGTTTCACTAACAGCCCAATTCTGTGAAAGAATAGCCTTTACAGATAGACTGTGGTGTATACACTTGTGTTTCTGGATATCGGAATGTGAACTATTTCATAAGGAATATTTATTTCTTCTCTTCGTCCTGAATATCTTACAGTAGGTCGCCAGCCTTAGTTAAAAAGGAAAAAGAAAAATTCACTGTTTTTATGGTGTTCTTCAAAATAATACAAATGAATAAAAATACTTTCATACAGGCAAAACCAAATTTCCAATTGCTAAGTATTATCAGATTGAAAGAGGTATAATTCAGAGGCTTAAGCAAAAATTTGTTTCAAGCATGGCACATGGATGAATGTAAATGTCAGCTTAGGACTCAGTAATTCACTCATTAATGTGTGTATGTTAATAATTTACTTGGTTGGGATATGCCTTCGAGTTGAGGTCAAGAGAGAAAACAATAAAATAATTCCTCACATAGTATAAAACAAATCTTGTTTCCTCAACAAGAAGAAAATTGAAATCCTTGGCATACACTGAAGGTCTGCAGTTTTCATATATCAAACATTTTAATGTCAGAAACCCCCAGTAGAATTAGTATTAATTCAATCTCAAGAAAAAATAAGCTGCAGAATTTTCTGCTTTTGAATTCTCTTCTTAAAGAAAACAGTCTAGGCCATGTAGAGAAATAAAACTTAAAAATAATTAATGTAATAGAGAGGCCAGAATATCTTATTAAAATCTAATGCTTTAATCCCAGCATTTGGGCGGCAGAGGCAGGTGGATCTCTGAGTGTGAGGCCAGCCTGGTCTAGAGAGCTAGTCCTAGGACAGCCAGGGCAGTTAGACAGAAACCCTGTCTTGGAAAAAAAAGATTGTGAATGCTAGACTTTGTATTGAAAACAAATTTACTACTACAAAATGCAACTAGTTCATATCTTTACTAACAAGCAAACTACAGGAATGAAAATTGTAATACCTGATAGTCCATGAAGCGCCATAAGCATGTTTTCCCTTTTTAGGTGCTAATTTTGGAAGTCCTTAATCTTTTACTTGGGTTTGGAGAACAGATTTTTTTTTTTATTTTCTTAAACAGAATTTTCTTTTCAAAGGAGGTCATGAAAAATAGCATCAGAAGAAAATTTCTCTCAAAATGGCTATTTAAGAATTATAAATTTCAAACTGATTGGAAGACTGCTATTGCATGAAAAGTAATTTTCTGCTTTAGGAAACAGTCCAGTTAACTTTTATTGTCCTCTTTTAAGGACATATTTGCGTAATGTACAAAAATATGTTGGATTTTAAGGACATATTTGTGTAATGTACAAAAATGTCTTGGGTTTAAAAGTCTCTGTGTTTTGAGTTAGTGAAATTTGAGAATATTATTTTTTCAAGTAGCATGTGTGTGTGTGCGCGCGTGTGTGCGCGCGTGTGTACATGCACTCCAGCACCCTGTATGTGTGGAGGTCAGAGGGAATCCTTCCACCCCGTGAGTTCTTGGGATCCAACAGGTTACCAGGCTCAGGCAGCAAGTGCCTTTACCAGCTAAGTCTCCTCACTGGCCCTAGACTCGTTTTTTAAAACCCTCTTGAACATTATTTGTATGCTACTGTGTCCCAAACATTATCATTTATAGAAAAATGTGTTTTTCCTTTTATAACAACGTTCTAGTAATTTTTCTTTGTGAAAAGAGAGAGATGACTGAAGTATGGGATTCATATCTGAATGTGGGTGTGACTACTCAGGTGAGGAGCTGGATGCTGTCCAGTTTCCACCTCTCTCTCTCTCTCTCTCTCTCTCTCTCTCTCTCTCTCTCTCTCTCTCTCTCTCTCTTCCTTACTTGACGTAGCTCCTTCACACTGAGCTTGGGTGACTCTCCGCTTTTTCAGCTCCAGGTTAAACATAATTATCCTTTCAAAGAGCGTCCCTGCTGAGATGCAGAGTAGAGGAAATAGAAGGACGAGGTGTTCACTAACCAAGTCCTGAACCAAAGTAAGCAAGACAAACTATAGAGGGAGCTGTTTGCCTTCCTGATGCCAGCCAGGAGCTTACTACTGCTCTCCTGTGACTTTCCTCCTACTTGGTGACTGTTGTTATAGATTGTTGGAGATAGTAACATGAAATCCAGTGGTTCTTTTTTTTTTTTAAAACATAGATTCTAATTTTGAATTCTACATGAGTATGGGGCTTCTTTGACTGATTGCATCTTCTATTTTATAACCCTAGCTGTAATGAACTATTATAATGACCTGTTTTGGTAAGTTGGTAGATTATTAAATACATTTTTATGATTGTGGTTTTGAAAACTATAGCACTTAACTTAGGTTCTCAAAAAAATTGAGAATCTTGTTTACACTTAGCTAAACATTCAAAAATATCTTAAGATCATGTAAGACCTATTTAGTTATAATTATTAGAGATTTTCAGGAGCATACAGAGATCTAGTTAGGCTAATCACAAATTTGTTTGACCACTTTAATAAATATTTGAAGTCCCAAATAGAAAACTTTAATAGTTTTATGTATTTGACTAAAGTCGTAATCAACAAATTAGAAGCAGGCAGGAGCCCTCTTGATTCTGGAACACTGTGGAGAAGCTTAGTGTATATCAACATAGTCTCTGTGCCTTTGCTAAAGCAGCATTACCTTCCAGAAACGCAGAAGACAAGCGTTGATAGACATAGAAGTAAAAATTGAACATAGAATGATTCGGTTGAAGCAGAAGTGTGTGCAAGAGATCGTGAGGACTCTAAACAGAGGATGTGATGACTACCTGACAGGCGAAAAGAGAAGCCCAGGGAAGGCTTCATGAAGGAAGTATAGATTGTCATTTTAGATTTTCTAAGAATTAAAGTTTTTGGATAGAGGAACAGATATGAAGTAATTCACAAATGAAGAAAACTTTTCTCTGTAGGGCTGCTTAGTTAGCACTCTATGCCAAAATCCTTGAAATGTTCCTTTTTGACTCATTGATTCTAGTTTCAGGGATTTTAATCTATGGACATAAATCTTTTGGCAA